ACCTGCTTCAATGCCTTTGGCCCCACTCTGAGCCCTTGGCACCCTCCCAGCCCTGCTTCAATGCCTTTGGCGTCCCCCATCCCCGCTTCAGGGCCCTTTGCACCCCCCAAGCCCTGCTTTGATGCCCTTTGCACCCCCCCCAACCCTTTCCGCCCCCCAGCCCCTTCAATGCCCTTGGCAGGTCACTGCTGCTGCGGGACGCTTTACATAAGGCAGGAGTCGCATGCAGCTCCTCAGCGGCGTCTCGTGGGCTTTCCTCCCTTCCCTCCTCCCAGCTGCTTTTTATAGCCACCAGTCTCTTTCCTCGGCATCTTGGTTTTTGTTTTTTTTTTTCTCCTCCGACACGTTTTTTTATGTAACTCGTCCTTCCTGGAGCCTCATCGCATGAGACTCTGGGGCCGGCGATGCGACTGATTTCAGAGAGGCTGAGGACATCATTTCTTCATTAAACCCAGCCTGGGACGAGCTGCGGAGGAGACAGGGCTCTGTGAGCCCCAGTTTGACTGCTACAACAGGGACCGCCGCCGAGATCGCCTCTCTGTGCCCACAAACACTGCCCCAACCCCCTTTAAAGTGTGGTTTTATTTTCACACCCCAAAAAATGGGGCTTTTGGGGGTGCGAGGGCTGAGACCTCTGCTTCCCTTCCCGCTGAAGGAGCCTTTGCTGGTGCAAAAGTGTTTCCCATCCCACCACTTGTCAAACTTTTTTTGCAAGGGAAAAATACATCAGAGCGTATTTATTAGCAAGGCTGGGCTGGTGGAGATGCTCCCATGCCGTTACTAGAATTTTTACTGAAATCTGTATCCGAACTTTGTATAACACAACCTCCCATGCTTTAGGAGCTGACTTCCCTCCTAGGGCTGGACTCTCCTGGGGACTTGAAATCCTGCTGCTTCCTCAGCTCTTTGGTGATTTTAACCACCTTAAGGTTGACCAGGAGAGAAGGAAGCTATAAATTAAGTAGGATCTCAAAAAATCTGTATTTAGAAGGGAGTCAGAGGCCATGCCAGGGGTTTCTCTCCCCTTGCTTTTTGCCGCTAAAAGATGATGTTTGCACCATCTGTTGATCTTAGGGGCGATACTTGGCTTTGCATCCTACTATGGTGACCACATGGTGTTGCAGAAGGAGCCGGCGGGGGCTGTGGTGTGGGGCTACGGGGAGCCAGGGGCCACAGTGACCGTGGCTCTCTCCGGGGACAGTGGCCTCATCGTCATGAAGAAGACGGTGCGAGTTAAAGGTCAGTCCTGGACCCTCACCAGGCAACTGGGGCCGGTGGCTTTGGTGGCCAAGGAGCATGTCTGAGCCCAAATTGGACTTGCGGGTGGGGTGGGGGCTGTTGTCCACAGCCCCATCACCCCTGAGTTTGTCCTGCCACTGCTCGGGGGTTGCAGAGGTGACGGTGACATCTCCACCTCGTGCAGCCCTAGGGACGTGCTTTCCCCTTCTCCGGGAGATCTGGGACGGGGGAGTTCAGCCATCCTCCTCCCCACCAGCACCAGCCTTTGCTCACTCCGGTTTCCCAACAGTGGGATCCCATAGGTGCCAAGCGGGAGCCGAGCTTGGCTGGAGTGGGTGGCACCGGGGGTTGCAGAGGTGACGGTGACATCTCCACCTCGTGCAGCCCTAGGGACGTGCTTTCCCCTTCTCCGGGAGATCTGGGACGGGGGAGTTCAGCCATCCTCCTCCCCACCAGCACCAGCCTTTGCTCACTCCGGTTTCCCAACAGTGGGATCCCATAGGTGCCAAGCGGGAGCCGAGCTTGGCTGGAGTGGGTGGCACCGCGTGGGCTTGGGCCGAGCCGATGGAGAGGAGGGGGATTTAGCTCCTCTCCCTGTCAAAACCATCTCCAGGGAAATCTCCAGAGCGCTCCTGGCTTCTTTTTTTTTTGATGTGTCCCCCCTCGGAGGATCCTGCTGGGGATCTCTAGGCCCTCAAGGACGTTGCCTCTGTAAGGCAGAGCCTTCCTCCAGGCTGCGAGGGCACAGAGGGGTCTCAAACCTCACCTGCTGGCCTCATTCTCTGCCTGGGGGCTACTCATCACCTTGGCAGGGGAAGAAACTGCTGCCTCAAGGGCTCCTCCACAAGCTGGAGAGCCCAGGGGCATCTTGTGAGAGAGCAGCGATCCAGATCCACCACTACTGGGAGATCTGCAGGATCCAGCCCCAGCTGGGCCAGAAAATCCACACTAGACTCCAGCAGAATATCTTTACGCCTCGATTCGGCGCCTCTAAAATTAGCTGGAGACATCTCAGTGTCACACACACCAAGCTGCTCCTGTAATCCCAGTTTCTCCCAGCAGCTTCTGCTCTGACACACATTTGCCTTCAAGATTTTCTTTTTAACCCCTAAGTTCCTGCAGGAGGAAAGACACTCTGATGGCAGAGAGCTTCCAACATCCATTTCCCTCAGCCCGGCTCCACGGTGGGGAGGCTTTTCCTCGTTGCCTGTCCCTCCCCACCAGTTGTTGGGCCACTCATCCAGCCTCTCTGTGAAGTTCTTGAGGTCTTCATAGGGGTCATGAAAGACAAACATTGTCCTCTTCTTCCAGGACCTTCTGGGACATGGACAACTGTCCTGGACCCTATGGATCAAGGTGGTCCCTCCACGCTGATGGCTGGGCAGGGCTCGGAGAATGTGACGCTGCGGGACATCTACTTTGGGGATGTGTGGCTTTGCAGCGGGCAGAGCAACATGGCAATGACGGTCTTACAGGTAAGTCCCTGTGGCGTGACCCAATCCTGCCAGCTCGGGCAGGGATCAGGCAGGGAAGCGCCTCGCATGCTCCTGACCCTTCTCTAGATTGCCAACGCCAGCCAGGAGCTCACTGACGCCGCTCGCTACCCCTATGTCCGCGTCTTTGCCGCAGCGCCTGCCCGCTCCGACGTGGAGCTGGAGGACCTGGAGCGGATCGACTTGCCATGGTCCATCCCGACAGCCGGTGAGTGCAACGTGCCTCCAAAAAAAGCCTGGAAATGGCTTTTTTTCCCCTTTTTCCCTTTGCAGCCTCGCTGTTTCTTGAACAGAAAACCTGGGCCATGGGAATTTCACTTACTTCTCGGCCGTCTGCTGGCTGCTGGGGCGCTACCTCTACGAGGCTCTGCGGTACCCCATCGGGCTGGTGGAGGCGGCCTGGGGGGGCACCCCCATCGAGGCCTGGTCCTCCCACAGGGTTCTGCAGGCATGCGGGCTGCCAGAGGACGCAGGGAGGTAGGAGAAGACGCAGTTGGAAACACCTCCTGCCCCGTGCCATGCTGCTTTTGGAGGGCCTCCTCCATTCCTTCCTGTCTCACCTCCTCTTCCAACACAGCCCCCTCCGAGCATCATTTTGCCCCCTCGGAGTAAAATCCCCTCTCATGCTGAGGGTGTAGGGCACATCTCAGTGGGTAAAGGGGGCAGCGGGGGGAAGAGGGGGACCCCAGGGCTCCCCTTTGGCATGGCTCTCGCTTTATCCATGCAAGCCCGGCTCCTGAAGCCCCTGCATCAGGGCTGGCCTTGTGTTTTGCATCCCCTTAAGCCCAGCTTTGCCTTCCAGCATCTCCCCCTGGCAGCATCTCTCCGGCCCACAAACGCCCTCCGTGCTCTGGAATGCCATGATCCACCCGCTGCTCAACATGACGCTGCGAGGTGTCGCTTGGTACCAGGGTAAGCCCCCACTGGGGTGGAGCAGCCCCTCGCTACCTCACCGGGCTCTCATCGGCCCCTCTCTTTCGGAGACAGGCGAGGCCAACGCCTTCCTGCATACGGACCAGTACAACTGCACCTTCCCTGCACTCATCGGCGACTGGCGCCAGGCTTTCCACGCTGGATCAGCTGGGCAGACGGAGCCGCTCCTCCCATTCGGCTTCGTTCAGGTGAGCACAGGGACGAGAGGCAGGACCCCCACCCTCCCTGCAGGGACGGCATCACGATGCTCAGGGAGGCTTTACCCATCCTTTCGCACGTGGAGGCCACTTCCAAGCCGGCGGAAGGGAGAGGACGCTGTAAACACGCGGACAGATCCTCCCGGGGTGCCGAATCCTGGGCAGGGACCGCAGCAGCCAGTTTTAAGAGCGATGGCTGAGCCGCTTCCACCGCTCCCCTCCCACTCTGCCTT